CCGATCGGTCCGCTGACCGGACAGCTGGCGCTGACCGGCCCGCTGTCCGGCCACTGGCGCTAACTGGCCCGCTGGCGCTGACCAGCCCGCTGACCCGCCAGCTGGTGCCGAGCGGTCCGCTGACCGGCGTGATCTCGGCTGTGGTGCGACGTGAGACGCTCGGCTGCCCGTGGTTTAGGCCGAGGGACCAGAGGCCGGGCTGTGAAACCGTGTCACAATCGTGTGTGCTTGTGTGTAGATAGTATGAGTATATATATATATATATATATATATATATATATATATATATATATGTATGTATGTATATATATATGTATATATATATATGTATATGTATGTATGTGTATATATCTATACGTATATATATGTATATATATATATATATATATATATATATATATATATATATATATATAATGTAGTTGAAATGTGAAAGAATGTTTTCAGTTGTTGTACGGTTGTCTGTGGAAATCTTTTGCTCACATTGTCATTCTAGACAGCAAGTGTGCTTTGTCTGTCAAGAACCATTCCAATGAGCGTGATTTTGCCATTAGTTTGAAGTTGTGGTGTTAGCTGATGTTTGCGTGTTTTGACGCTTAATATATGACGGGAAGAACCAGTTATGTTCTTGCTTTGAGGGAACGTATTTGCCCTGCGTTTCAAGTGCATATAGGTAAGGCTAGCATTACCCTGTTTTATAGTTTTACAATGCCGTTGATGGCATGGGGGCGGGAACAGGGGGCGCTTGGGAAGTCATTGCCCCCCCCCCCCCACACACACTTTTCAAGGTGTGGTTGGCGAGGTGCAGCAATGTTAACTGGCCTCACCACTTTTCCGATTGAGGTTGCATTTGGCTTACTTTTGCACTGCATTGAAAATGCATGCCGATTTACCTAGTTCACCAGCCATCTCCCTTAAGATATGTTATATTTTTCGTTCGCTCATTGGCCATCAACAAGTGTTACAGCCGCAGGGCCGACGCTGCACGGCGTGGACACTGCAACGCCGGGTGTCGAGGCTGTTATTGTTATGACTTGCGGGCACGCATGTTCAACACCATATTACGTAGTGTTCTTATTAGTAATCAGCTCTGACAGGATCTTGAGCATTATGAGACGAACATGGGCTAGCCATGTTAATACAAATTGTGAACCCCATTTCATTTGCAATCTACAGTAAGGGAGAGCTCAATATCTCTGAAGAACACAGAAAAACATGGAAATGGAGTCTATGTGAAAACTATCGGACTGCCTGCGGTGATCAGGGATGTTGTTGCGTCAATGAGGGTCGCTGTGCTGATCTGGGGCTAACCGCGCGGATCAGAAGGCCTCCCGTGTCAGGGATGGGAACAATGTGATAAGGTATACCCTTCTAATGACCTTTGGATCGACCAGGAGATCCCGCCCCGTGCCACCAGAATGATAGTCAGAAGACACTTCGCGATGGGACTAAATGGCCCTTCCGCCCTTGACTGGAAACGGTAATGTACCCCTGGTGTTCTACTCAAGAGGCCGCTTGCCCGGAAGGGAATAAGGAGTCGCATTATTGTTGAAAAGCACGGGCCGAGATGAATTTTAAAAAAAACGAGCAAGGTCATGCCATGTTTGCCTGAGAGCGTTCATTTCTTTCAGAATGTATTATTGAAACAAATCATATCAAAAGTCTTAAACATGCCCACCCGCAACCTACAGAGCAAGGGCAAAGATGGTCGGGCTTGCAACTTCCGTAAATCCGATACGTTTCGGCCACTGCAAGTGCCACCAGACGGCATGCGCCGTGTTGATCTGTCTTCTGGACAGATAAAGAGCTGCGGAAACACGAAAAATAGAAATTTTACCTTCACTGTTCTAGTTCAACCACCAGATTCCAGCCCCACTTCGCGGTGCTTTAAGGGCCAATCCGTTCTTTTCATCAATCTAAAAATTGCACACGTGATTTATGTCCTCAGACTGCCTTTAAATACAAGATCTGATGTAATGAAGCGTCCAAGGATGCATTCTTAGAAGCGTCGTCATTTTCGTCCACCTGTTGGCCACAGCTTAATATTAGCTGCCAGGCGAGCGCTGCGCGGCCTACGGAGACTGCAACGCCTGGGGTCGAGGCTTGTGTTGCAAAGTTTCTAGTGCGCATGCTCAAAATTACGCCAGATAACTTGTATAACTAGTTGATTAAAGTGTTTAAAGGTAATCATTTCAGAAGCGTCATTATTTTCGTCCATCGGTGAGCCACGGCTGATTGTTAGCTACTAGGCTAACGCTCCGCGGACTATGGAGATGGCAACGCCTGGCGTCAAGTTTTTCGTTGCTAAGAGTTACGAGCATGTTAGAAAACACGTTACATAAACTGCATCACTAATCGATTCTGACTGAATGGTGAACATTTTCAGACAAGCATGGCTTGGCCATGTTCATACACATTGTTGACCACTCGATTTGTAATCAAATTTTCGTCTTCAAATTTGGATCAAACGTATCGATCTACAGTCTACGTTCGTGATGTCCTCAATGTCTGTGGAATCCAGATAAAACATTGCCAAACCTTCTGAATACGATCGGTTTAGAAAAATTCAGCTAACCATTGTAAATTAGGAGCGCCGGTGATTGATTCCATGCAATCGTTCAACGCCTGATTTTAGCAGCTTATTGACCTCAAAACGCAAACAGAATTGAGCTCACGGTAGCTCCTGGTTTTGGTTCTGGTTATAAGGTAAAAATAACAATAAAATAAAGAAAACCGTGTCGCTTGTTAACGAGTAAGCCATATCCGGTTTGTTTTGGGGGGCCACGATAAAATGGGCTTTTGTCAACCCTGTGTTCGCCCTTGGCAAGGCTCTGGCTTCGCGCCTGCCTACACACAAAAACAGATCAAGTCGCGTACGTTGCATGATGGGCAATGAAGTGTCCGTTGATCCAATCAATACCTAAGGCAGACAGCTTTCCAGAGGCTATTTTTCTGCGATGGTGTGGGGCAAGGGAAGATAATTCGGAAGAAAGATGCTGTCGCAGGTGTCCAACACATGTTTCATACACCATGTAGAAGTAACGCTGATCCAAAAGTATACAACAAAGTAGCCACACGATCAGCTCGCAGTCAGTCATGCGGGCGACATCCAGGCCAGGGCAGTGACCACCGACGGCGGACATGAGCAGGGCCCAGATAAGGAGCATATGACATATGACATATGACATATATGACACATAACATATGACAGGTGGGCCTTGTGACTTGATTGTTAAAAGAGAATCTCCAGTTTTGTGGATTTTGTCACAATGTTTCTAGCAGTTTCAAGCTCCCGAACTTGTTTCCGCCCAAAACGCCGCGACAAGTCTTATTTCTTGAAAAGCAGCCAGCGAAACGAAGGCGCATGAAAAACCTGACGCACTGTGAGCCATCGATCCACTTTCAAAATTCTCACCAGCCTATATCCATGCCGTATTTTGGCATCTACTCTGTTGAGGTAAATCCTTCCTTAATGACCCAAAATACCTATCCGCTCGTGGAATTTCGTCTCCCCCGGGAAAAACACTTTAAATGGACGAATAATCTAGGGAAGCTGAATAGCCTTATTTACCAAATGACAGATGAGTAGAATAGGCAAGATTGTGCACCAGTGATAGACAGCTCCAGATGCACAGCTAGCATAGCAGCCATGACATTTGAATAAAGAGCGATAACAATCTCCATCCCTCCCCCCGCCCCCATCATCGGGCTCGCTTTCCAGAAAAGGTTCCTGAATTACATCCTGGGCTTGCCCCCCCCCCCCCCATACTTTCTGAAACGTTCCTACGCCTATGGTTGATAGTAGAAACAATGCCCTAGGTCGATGATGCCAGTGGACCACGCGTTATACCCTTGTAAATGGTTTTCCACTTGTATCGGGCGAGGAGCCCTACGATCATCGGACAAAGGTGAAAATAATATCCTAGACTTGATTGAAATATGCAGCGTATATGGTTGCAGTGTGAATATGGTGCTGGTTCCCCAGATATTCGTCATGTCAGTTCCCAGTCTGTCGAATTGGAATGGTTTTCTGGGAGGATCCGGGCTTTGTAACATTGTAATATTTTATTGTTACAGAGACGGGAATCACACAAGTTAATTATCAAATGCATGTGCTCTGGTTGAAGGTGACGAGGAACATGATACCCGAAAAAGCCCAATCGATAGTAAAAGGGAATATTCCACTTTTGGTGATATTAAAGCAGACGGCATATATGATGAAATCAGGCCACTTATATCGATTCGTGTACTTTAAAGCCGAAAAGGCTGCCCTAGAGAACACAGTTTCTCTGTTAAGTAAACATGCTCCTTGATAGACCGTTGTGTGATTATGTCACCGTGTCTCACACAACATTCGTTGAGAGCCAATTAACGGCTGTTTTATCAGGAAATCATGCTCACAAACGCCTGATATGGAAGACTCGACCCTTATGTTTTTCTTGGCATTGATCGCCGCAGGGATGATGGAATGACAGAATTTGGATGCCGTTATCATTATGTCAAAGATGCCGGGGTGACCTTGAAACAGTCGCCCCGAAAAAGTTTGCACATCTTCGTATGCGTATAGCTCAGAAACTAGAAGGCTTCAGGTTTTAAGAAGGATCGGACTGTGAACCGCAGGGAATGAAAAAGATGGCTATTCCAGTTCAAAAGCCCATAGAATGTGGAACATTCGTATTTTATCCCGAGAATGGCCTTCTAGGTCGTGGGGTTACCAGGCCTCGTTGAAGACCAGGGGTTGTGCTGCTCAAATGGGTCGGGTTTTATGCACGACGACAAAAAATGCCAACTTTTTGTTTCTTGCATCAAACACCTTCTGTTTCTCATAAAAAACAACAGCCTGATTACTCTTCATCCACGTATTCACTCATTATCGGTAATCGCGCGAATGTTTTCAAAATGCCTCAATTTTTCGGGAACTATAACGCGTTTACCAGATGAGATGCTCCACAAGCTGCCAGACCTATCAAATTTCAAAAGTTGATGTGTGTTGCCCGGTTTTATCACGAATGAAGACAGATCTACACTCAAAGCTATAAATCAATATATCAGAAATAATATCA